AGTATATTTGGGAAATCCCTCAAGGTTTCGAGGATAATCGTAACAATTGGTGTCAGAAGTGGGATTGTTAAATAAATCCCGAAGGATAAACTACTGAAAATGGCAAAAATTCAGGATCTAAAGATTGAGGAACTCAAGCAGGAGTTGGAGAAACGAAATTTAGCAACCTCCGGAAGAAAAGTGGAGTTGCTATCACGGTTGCGAGAGGCTATGGAAAAGGAAGGCATCGACGTTGACAAACACGACTTCCATCGTGAGGACGACGAGGCATCCTTGAAGGACAAAGACAAGGAAGAGGTTGCTGGTTCATCGAATGATGTGGAACAGACATCAGCGAAGCTTGAAGAGCAGGGAAGGCTCCTTGTGCGTCAACGGCTATAGACATGAACATGTTATTGGGTGCCATATCACAGATTTCATCCCAGCTGCAAGTGCAGGAAACACGCATGTCCTCGCAGCTGGAAGCACAGAAAACGTACATGTCATCGCAGCTAGATGAAAAGATTACTCAGCTACAAGAGAATTTATTTAAAGATAACGCGGAACTCAGAGAGAGACAGGATAAAATCGAGGAACGACAAGATAAAATCGAAGAGCTAATTCAGGAGAAAGTCGAGGCTAAGGTAGAAGAGTTGGAAGGTCGCCTTCGAGATATGCAGTTGAATCGCCCACCTTCTTCGACCAGCGCGCCCAAGGTAAAGACTCCATCCTTTGACGGCACGATTCCTTTCCAAGTCTTTAAGCTCCAGTTTGAGAAGACAGCTACAGCAAATCACTGGAGCATGGAGGATAAATCCGCTGCACTGTTCGTTGCATTAAAAGGACCTGCAGCGGAAATCTTGCAGACTATTCCTGATGGTGAAAGGAACAGTTACGATGCGTTAATGGGTGCAGTGGAAAGACGTTATGGTAGCGAGCACAGGAGACAGATTTACCAGATGGAGCTGGAAAATCGCTGCCAGAAATCCAATGAGACTCTACAGGAATTCGCCTCCGAGGTTGAAAGGTTGGCTCATTTGGCAATTGGAGATGCATCTGGTGAGCACCTCGAAAGAGTAAAAATCCAGAGGTTCATCAACGGAATGCGGGACGTGTATACCAAGCGCGAGACGTATGCAAATCCAAAGCCAACATTTGCTGAAACGGTCTCGTATGCTCAGACACGTGAAACGGCAGCGCTCCTAAGTAGACCAGCCTACAAAGCCCATCGAGTAGAAGTGGAAACACCTGACGTGATGAACGAGATCCTGAAAACACTCAAGTCGATGGCAGGGAAGAATACTCCTGGTGCAACCGAGAGGAAGGATGGTGCTAGAAAATGTTTTAGTTGCGGAAAACCAGGCCACTTCGCACGCGAATGTAAGACGGGTTCCAACAGGTCAAACAGTTCAGCAGTACGTAAACGCAGGACTGAGGATGACGAGCCCAACTCCGACCAGTCGTTAAACTAAAACGAGCCAGCAGCAAGGGGCGCACGCTGGCTCCCGCAATTGAATGCCCCATAATTTCCGTCTCGAGAATTGGCAGAAAAGCGAGCAACGTTTCTGTTGGTGGATATGTGGACGGACATGAGCGAGTACTAACTGTTGATACGGGCGCATCACATTCCATCATTCGATCTGATTTGGTCACTAAAGAGGTAAGGCCATTACCTGGAGCAAGGTTGAGGACAGCAACTGGTGAGGACACCCAAGTTGTAGGAGAGGTAACATGCAAAGTCGCAATAGGGAATGTGACGGTGTTACACAAGTTCATAGTCGCGGCGATTATGGATGAAGTCATCATTGGATTAGACTTTTTATTTGGTCAAGGCATGAAGATCGACATGAAGAACAGGATCATGACGTACGACAACATGGAAGTGCCCCTTAGGTTTGGGTATGATGGTCCGTACAGCAGCAAGCGAGTGATCCTAGAGGAAAGCGAGCAGATTCCACCGAAGTCAGAAGCAGTTGTGTGGGCAAAAATTGATGGAGATTGTGGGACAAACAAATTGTGGGTTGTTGAAGCGACACAAAATTCTACACCGGACGTACTTATTGGTAAAACCCTGGCTAAGACGCAAAAGGATGGACGCATCCCAGTTCGAGTGCTCAATGAGTTCAAATCACCAGTCAAACTCCGAAGAGGAACTGTACTGGGGCAATGTCGAGAGGTAGAGGCAATCTTCAACTGCGAAAAGTTACCTGAAAGCGATTCCATTGGCGAGAATGACATTGAGGAAGACATCAATGCATGGACGGAAGGGTTGGAAGAAAAATACCAGCACAAGGCTAAGGAACTTCTCCGAAGATACTGCAGCATATTCGACAAGGATGGCGACAAACCAGGCAGGACTAACGTTGTGAAACATCGCATTGATACTGGCGATGCAAGGCCAATCCGTCAAGCTCCTCGGCGTGTTCCACTTGCCAAACGTGAAACTGTTAGCCAAATAATAAAAGAAATGAGTGAGAGTGGTGTGATTGAGCCATCAGCGAGTCCATGGAGTTCGCCGGTAGTACTTGTGAAGAAGAAGGATGGTCAAATGCGGTTCTGCGTAGACTACCGGAAACTAAACGATGTGACGAAAAAGGATAGCTATCCTCTTCCCAGGATCGATGACACTCTGGACTCGTTGACTGGAACAAAGTGGTTCTCAACACTCGACCTTAAGAGCGGTTATTGGCAGGTGGAGGTAAGTGACGAGGACAAGGAGAAGACAGCTTTCAGCGTTGGAGACGGTCTGTGGCAATTCACGGTGATGCCCTTTGGATTATGCAACGCTCCTGCCACTTTTGAACGACTTATGGACCATGTGCTCAAAGGACTGCATTGGAAAACATGTTTGGTGTATCTAGACGACATTATCGTATTGGGTAAAAGCTTTGAGGAACACCTGAACAATTTGGAAGAAGTTTTCCAGAGGATAGCTGGCGCTGGTCTGAAGCTAAGTCCTAAAAAATGCTCACTGTTCAGGAAGGAGGTGAACTACTTAGGGCACAAGGTGACAACGGAGGGCATCTGTACTGCGAAGGAAAAGATAGAAGCAGTAAAGGATTGGCCAAGACCTAGGAACCTGCACGAACTACGAAGTTTTCTTGGGCTATGCACCTACTACCGCCGATTTGTTCCGAATTTCGCCAGCGTTGCTAATAGCCTCCACGAGCTCACTAGGAAAAATAGAGCCTTCGAGTGGAACAAGGAGCAGGAGGAGGCTTTCCAGACTCTGAAGGAACGACTATGTACTGCACCTATGCTAGCGTATCCCGTTCCAGGTGCAACGTTTATTTTGGATACGGATGCTAGTGGTTATGCCATAGGAGGCGTACTGTCGCAGGTAATTGATGGGCAGGAGAAGGTAGTTGCCTACTATAGCCGGTCGATTGGAAAACCAGAGAGGAACTACTGCGTAACTCGGAGAGAACTGCTAGCGTTGGTGGACTGCGTCAAACATTTCCACAAGTACCTCTATGGGCAACGTTTCCGAGTTCGAACGGACCATGCAGCGCTGAAGTGGCTACTACAGTTTAAGAATCCAGAAGGACAGCTAGCTCGGTGGATTGAGAGACTGCAAAGTTATGACTTCGCTATTGAGCACCGCAAGGGAAGTGTCCACGGTAATGCTGATGCCATGTCCCGCCGACCATGTAGCCTGGAATGTAAACACTGCTCAAAAGCTGAGGGAAAAGAGGACATTATAGACGTCCGTCTAACGACAATAACACCATCGGAAGAGTGGAAGGAAGAACAGCTACGAAAGTGTCAGCAGGAAGATCCAGATCTGGAGCTTTTGATGCATGGACTGGAGGTGGACAGGAGGCCAACTAAGGAGCAAATGGCAGCGGAAAGCCCCATCGCAAAGGCGTACTGGGCACAATGGAACAGCTTAAAATTAATATCTGGCTGTTTGCATAGGGTATGGGAAAGCGAAGATGGCCAGTGCTCCCGCAACCTGATAGTAGTTCCAAGGGTAAGAATTCCGGATGTACTCAAGGAATTCCACAATGGTCCTAGTGGAGGGCACCTGGGAATCACGAAGACCCTGGAGAAGGTTAAGCAGAGGTTCTATTGGGTTGGTTGTCGGCAATCGGTCGCAGAGTGGATTGCTAACTGCGCGGAGTGTATTGCAGCTAAGGGGCCGAAATCCAGAAGTCATGGCCAGATGAAGCAATATAACTCAGGTGCACCTTTCGAGCGGATTGCTATGGATGTAGCCGGTCCATTTCCTATGAGCGCACAGGGAAACAAATACGTCCTCGTGGTTATGGACT